TAAATATAGGTATCCAATGCAGAATGCGACAGTAAATCCCATGTTATTTTCTTAAAGTATTTTATATATTACCAGATATAGAAATGACAAATCCGACTGTTTTCGTTGTATTATAATAGGCGAAACCTGTAAGATATTCCGGTGTATAGTATTCCACAAAAACTTCCCACATCGCAAGGACTGATCTAGTTTCAAGGTCGGTTCGAAAGAAGAGCACGTAAGACGCAAATTGCTTTTCGTGGTTTCTTACCTCGATACCTGCCTTTCTCTTTGCCAGAGAAATATCAATGCCATGAGGGTATTCTCAGAACAAAGTCACTTCTGGCCAACAAAATAATTTTTTTAGTGCTAATAATTACTTTTTACTTTCCCTAATCTATATATGAAATATAAAGCTTGGAGAAGTGTCACAACTGCGAAAAATTTCGAAGCTGAGATTTTAAACGAAAATATAACTTTTAAAGTCATCTGAGTCTAATTAGCCAAGTCCCACAAAATGTCACTGTTTATGTTTGAATAGATTTACTTAAGGTAGGTATGGGTCATTAAAGAATACATAGTATGTAAAGAAATTCTTTATATATATATATATATATATATATATATATATATATATAAAGAATTTCTTTACATACTATGTATTCTTTAATATATATATATATATATATATATATATATTTTTTTTTTTTTTTTACTTGTTCTGTTAATGTCATTTGTTGTAGTCAAGAAGTATAACTTCTCATGACTTGAAGTGTTCTCTTTTTCCAGTTTCTTTTTTTCATTCCCCATATCATTTATTTGAGATCCCATTTTCAGACTACAATAAAACAAGTCTGGGCCTGGTTTTGAAATTGTTCGAGTCTTGAACGAATCGTTTCATCAATTTTAATTAAATTCATTATACCGATGTAAATGTAAGAAGTATTTAATATGACGAAAGATTTGTTTAATTGATATTGTCTGACGGTGCGAACATGCCAAATTTTCAAAATTTCGTTTTCAAAAACTATCTTTGATTTTGAGAAGGAGTCATTCGAGGGTGCGGTCAAATAAATAAAAAAATTAAAATATATTAATTATTTTAATTTTTGCCGACGTTTCGACCCACTTTGCAGGTCGTCTTCAGGGCGTAGGATGTGGCACTGCGGGAGGCAGTCGAAACACTGGCAGTGTCAAAAAAAAGAAAGAAATTTTTAGAAGAAAAAGAAGACGACCTGCAAAGTGGGTCGAAACGTCGGCAAAAATTAAAATAATTAATATATTTTATTTTTTTTATTTATTTGACCGCACCCTCGACTAACTCCTTCTCATATTATATCAACGGTCAACCATCTCTACATCATTATCTTTGATTTTGTATATTTAAAATAATTAATCGTTTTCACACTATAAGCAATAATAAAAATGGTTAAATATAAACTACGTAAGCATTTTATATAATTATGTAATTAATAAATGAGGTCTAATAAGTTGGGACCGAGAACTACCGAAGACAAGCGAAACATATGAAATGTGTGTGAAACATATAGTAATTAATTGTATTAAATTATTATGTTGTACCGTCTATAATTTTCACTTACCTATATATGCAATATATGGTAAGGGAAAGAATTGCGATCATGAAAATTGTCGAATCTAAGTTTTCAACAGTAATACACGTTTTGAGATCCCCTGAGTCTAAATAACCAAGTCCCACAAAATGGTCTGTATATGTCTAAGTATATGGTAAGCCTAGCTCAAAAACAAAAAGTCGTACGAAACTGATGTTACGTATTTAAGATAGATTTATATGCCTTGGATGTGACAGCAACGTTTTCATTAAAATCGACTAACCGTAAGTGGCATTTTATATCAACGGTTATACACATTTTTACAATTTTCTCAAAAACGAATTTGATTAAACACGATGTATAATTGTAAAATTAAGTGGTATTTAATATCATTGAGATCTTATGCCCATTGATGTCAGGCTTAAATGCTTAAATGTTCAATATGTCTTCCTCTAAAGTACCTTTAATTTGGTTTATTTTATATAAATAACCATCTCTCATTATTATGAGTTACGAAAAAATGCTAAATATAACTTTTGAAAGAATTTGATAATTGAAAAATGGAAAAAAAAAAAAAATGTTTATTTAGGTCGAAAATGAATTTCTGGTAATACTAGTTAGAAGGTATACGGTATAATTAATAAGGTTTTTGTTATTTTAATGGTGCTAATGATTTGTTAGCTGTAAACTTTAAACTATAGCTCCGTTAAAAGTTCACTTCAAGAATTTTATAACTGCTAAACGTTGCAAGAAAATAATTTCTATTGAAAGTAGAAAGGTATGTGAAAGTTGTGTGTTGCGCGCACCAGATTTTTAATTTCACTTCTCATTGTATGGAAATACCTATTTCAAGTAAAGTAAAGTGGTAAATGAAAGTTGTGTGATGCGCGCACCACACCAGATCTTTAATTCTTACTTCAGAACAATACAATCAAGGTTTTATTAAAGAGTTTCGGATGTGTTAGAAAGATATAGATATAAATAAAAAATGACCGAGCTCGGAATTATCCAGAGCACTAATATAGTAAGCTGATGTACAATCATGATCGGCAAAGTAAAATTCGAAGCAATGAGCAAAAATTCCAGTAAGAAATGTGAAAACATATTAGATAAGGTCATCTATTACTAATTGTTATCAAAAATGTACATCAGTTTATGATTGTATTATTTGAGTTTGCGTCATCTCGGTTCATATCTAAAAAAATCTGTTGAAATTGAACAATGAGAATTAGTGTTGATTTTAAATAGCGCAAAGAATAAACACAGGTGTTTGATAAGATGAGTCAGGATCTCATATTTCCATCTGTAACCTCTTGACATAAACATGTTACCGATTATTTGGAAATGATATTAAGAATAAGAAACTATACGACGGGTTGTTAAGGTTTATAAAAAATAAAAATAAAGTATCGTTTTTCTGACTCAAAAACAAGTCTTTACTTACTAATATAATGTGATTTTTTTAATCGGTTCCCTCCCAAAATTACGGGAGGTTGGAGTGTATTGTTACAATATCAAAGCAAATAATCGATGTACCATAAACTCAAGTTGGTCCTACCGTGCACATACTTTTTCGAAGGATTTTTCTCAGTTCGGCAGGGCTCAGAAATTTCTTCTATTCTTCCAGTCTTGGCGGGAGTGTTCCACGGTTCAGTACTGGCACCACTTCTATATATTGTATACATTTACGACATACCTATTAACGATGAGATATTGATTGCTACTTATACTGATAACACAGCGATTCTCACAAAACATCATGGGCCTACACAAGCATCACTGACGTTACAACATAATTTACAAGATTGGTAAAAAACATGGAAAATTCCATTAAACCACTGTAAATCGAAACACATTAAATTTATACTTCGAAGAAATACCTGCCTTCCAATGTTTATTGAAAACAATCAAATTCCTCAGACAGACACCGTACTAGTGTACTGTCTAAGGTAGTCCTTGGTCTTACCTTTGAAAGAAGGATGACATGGGACCCACATGTTAAAATGAAACGGAAGACCCTCAAAAGACGACTCAAACTACTTTATTCACTTTTTTCCAAATTTTCAAAACTATAACTTAGACAGAAACTAAATACATACCTTTACTTAAATCAATATGGACTTACTCCTCACAGATATACGGTATAGTTAAAAAGATTCACTTATACAAACTTCAAACTTTTCAATAAAATATATTACGGCTTATAACTAAAACACCTTGGTACGTGACAAACAATACTTTACATACAGACTTCATCCTACCTACAGTTGACCAGCACATAAGAACTCTTTACAAATGATTTCACGATAATTTACACGGACATACTTACATACTAATTAGAGATATGGCTTCAGCTGATATACCCATCAATATAAGGAGGAGACTAAATGGCACTGGATGAGAGACCTCCTTCCTTGATAACTTTATTAATCACTTAAACACCATGGCATATAAGTAGTTTTTCCTCTTCTTTCCAAAGTAATTATCGTTATTTTTTTGAAAAAAAAACTTTCGGGCTGAAGCCCCTCCCCACCTTAAAAAAAAATAAATCCTGAAAACGCTAGTGAATTGGAGTATTATGGAGGGATAGCGATCTGGTTGAGGACAAATCGGAATTATATGGAACATTAAAATTCTTATGGATAATTTTATTTATAACAAAGTAACGAGCATTGAGAATTTTACTAAATGTTTAGAATATTAAGGATTGGCTACGAGAGACGGTTTATTGGGGTCCCAAACAGGACTTATTGTGCCTAACATAGTTGATTGGAAGCTTAGCGCGTTTGTCTGGTGTGAGTTAAAGGCTCCCGAAACATCGAACAGTTTCATGTTACCATTAGGATTCCGTGTAAAATGTTTGTTCAAATACAGTCCTAGATACTGGATATGTTTTACATAGATAATGTTATTAAAAAGTAGTGTAGGACAGAAAGTCATAGGTTAACGCGATAATATAAAAGTGTGTTTTGATACAAGATAAATGTGTTTTGAACGATTTTATTTTAATTCTGCAGTTTTGACCTCATTCTTGAAGGTTTAATGGATTATTATAAATTATTAATTATTATTAAATCCATTACTTAATGATGGCATCCCTTGGCATCAGTATACTACCATTTATTTGTAATTGAATATGTAATAGTTGACCGTTGCATTATAAAGGAAGGAGATCGCCCGGGGTGGCGGTCATAAATAGGCTTAATAGTGGCAAACTATTTTATTAAAAGCCTTCTTTATTAGCCAATTTTATTAAAAGCCAACATTTCGACCCGACTTTGCAGGTCTTCTTCAGGGGGAACACACCTCTCTGAAGAAGACCTGCAATAGTTTTACCGCTATTTAGCCTACTTATGACCGCCACCACGGACCATCTGCTTCATTTATTTTTAATGTTGTTATATAATTTATATTGGTTAGTGTTATTAATTCTAAAACACTTCGTTGCAGAAGTTCCAGCAAGCCGCCGAGAAGGTGAAGAGCGGCCTGTCCAAGAGGCCGTCAGACAACGAGCTGTTAGACCTCTACGGCCTCTTCAAGCAAGCTACAGTCGGTGACGTCAACACAGGTGCGTATTATTGAACATACTACCGACTTTGTTCTACGCTCTCCAAACAACAATGTACCAAATGCAATAATGGTGTACAGAAAGTCCGTAAACATTCTTGATATCAGATTCTGACTAATTCTCTGACTGCACAAATCTAGACTAGCCTTTGCGTCCTAAGCAATCTTCCTCCATTGCGGATTCCCAACTTCCTTAAATTTTTCGTCACCTCATATCATCCTCTACTTCCTGATCTTCCGTTCTTTTACTATTGATATTTGTCTCTTATATTCTTCTCCGTAGCCTTTCTCCTCTCATTCTGGTTGGATTGTCTGCTCTTATAAACCTTTTCGCCTTGGCGAATCTATCGTATTTTGTATTTATCCGAACTTTTTATCTCACTGTTGCTTCGAATTGAGCATCTACTAATGTTTCAGCGTAAATCCGTCCCAAAATCGTTCTTTCAAATACGTTTAACTTACGGCTAACACCAAGCTTTAGCTACATATTTCACTGAAGGCCTGATCAGAGCTTTATAAGGCTATCATATAATTTTGTAGTTTTACACAGTTCCAGATACTTGAGAAGTCTCATAAGAAAAATAGGTTGTGTTTCAGTTATAGATTTTGATTCTGTTTTAGGATCTTCTATTTCACGAAGATAATATTTTTGTTTTTACTTCGTTAATAAAAAGACCAAACTTCGAGTCATTTCCCCGAATAATTTCTGGCGAAGATAACCTAATCAACAGCGTAGAGACAAAGTTGTCAATGACTGTTTAATTTTTTACTGCTTCTTTAACAAGGTTCGTGCATCGTGCCAAGGTTGTATTTAATGTGGTCGCTAACTATGACACTTTAGGCATACTTCCTATTGTATTGTCAAACATAATTTTTGATTAACGACAAGCTAGGCGTAACTACCTCCAGTTTTCCAGATGAGTGACCTTTATGATAACTACTACTAATCGTTTTTAAGGATTGTAGAGTGATGTTATAAAGGCTAAAGCTTTCCTCAATACGTAAAAGAATGATGTCGAACGCGAAAATAATTTTGAAATTGACCTGGTAGTTCTTGAAAGCATTGCGTTCAAACAAATAAACTTTTGAGCTTTACATATTAATATAGATAACATTTACTATATTAAGGTTTACTAAAAAAAAACGTGAAAATAATAATGAACTAAGAGGCAGGAACTATGACCATCCTGACGGTCCGCGAGTTAATTGGCACTACTCTCAATAATTACCGACATCGTTTCAGCACTGACTCGACATCAATTTTCTACGCCGTGATAGTTATCTCATAATTCATTTTTTTTTAAATAACGAAGATAATTAACGTTTTGTCTCAAACAGCTGTGGAGAAATAACTAGCAGTTGTATAATATTCGGGTATCAAGATATATATATAATAATATCAAAGTTCAAGGTACTTTTGATGCAATTTCTATTCATAAATTTAAAACCTTAATTCAAATATATTTTTTTAAAATCATATAAGCGCACCCGATTTTGGTTTATTATTTTCAATAATCAACCATTGTGATCGACCAAAAAATTCAAAAACTTAACCCCTCTCAAAATTTGAGGTTTCATGTTTCAGGATGCATAGAATTCGAAAAAAGAATAAAAATTTTTTGTCCGTCCGCCGTCCGCGCATTTTCTCCGAAACTACTGGACCGATTTTTGTCTAATTTGGATAAAAAATCAGAGGTCACCCGAGGATGACCCTCCTTCATCGAAATTATTATTCGCCTTTTACTTTCAAAATGGCGGCCGAAACACTATACACTGTAGTGCCTAAACGAATGTAGCGATTTCAATGAAACTTAGCTAAAGCCCTTTCTTAGCTAAAATGAAATTTTCTCTACGCCCTTTAAATTTATCTATATAACATACTTCAACGAAAAGAAGCTGAAATAAAATTACGAGGGATGGTAAAATTAAATTCCGAATAACTCAAAAAGTTTACACTTTTTTCTAGATATTGTATATGTTTTTTTAAAAGTTTACGAAATTTCCTAAAAACCAAAAAAAAAATCGTTAAAATCGGACAATTAGGAGCAAAGATATGGTCTCCGGTTTTTTTAATATGTTCTACTCCAAACGTTATATCGTTTGTTTGGTTTTTAAATTTTGAATGTGTTACTGAAGTAATGCTATTTTTTTTTAGCATATTACTAATGATTAAAAAAAAAAAAAAGTTTAGTCCAATAATTGGAAATACCTTTTATTTTTTTTCTTTGTAACTAGGAAGGTAATGTTACTTTAGATGTATAATTGTTTGAAAATAATAAACCATTGTGGAATAATTTGCAACGTTTTTAAATTGTATTCTATCCAAGCAGTACTAAAAATAAAAATATTGCTTTCGTTTAGCTATCCAGTCCTGACTTTCTTGTGACATTAAAAGCATCAAACAGGTTTTATGTTCTTAAGCGGTTATGGAACCGCATCGATTCGATTAATTTATATCAGTAGTTTTTAGACATCGGTAGGAGAATTTAGTTTTGAAATGCGAAAGAAGTTTATAAACTTTGGAGAGAAACTACCGTTTAACTTCACCTGAGGCAAATGTTTTTAAGTTAAAAATATGCCGAACATTAAGAATCAGTAGCGTTAACGATTGATGAGCATGGTTTATAGAATATTTACTATGTAATATTGTGATTATTAGAGGTTTTTTTTTTACTCCTCAATTTACTTGTTAATCAAATATTTATATTGAGTTTTGAGTTACTAGGGGGACAGGTGCCACTGTCGTTTTAATCTGCGTTTAGAAAGACCTGGAAACAAGGAGGTGGTGTGGTTAGAAATTGAAGAATATAAGGTGTGATTAGAAATAGAATAGTGTGCATCTACTATTTTTTTTAAATAATTTTTTATTGTGTGGTACGTATATTAGATGTGTCCCCAGGTCGATGCCGCATGTCTAGTGTTGTCCAAATCGGTCTTGGTCTTGCAAAGTGCAAGACCAAGACCAAGACTGTTAAAAAAATCTATTTAAAAAAATAATAAAATTAAGGCAAAATAGTCACTAATATGTGACAATTTTAGTTACTATATGTAAAGGATTGTTATAACAAATATACTTTTGCATTTAACTATTTTTCATTCGGGCTTAGTAAAGTTTCTCTTATCTAAAAAATTACAATAATATCTCTATAGTTATAGGGCAACAGGTAACTGCAAGACTGTTGCGAGTTTCTTGCGCAAGACCATGACCAAGACCATCATTGAGTGCGCACAAGACTCGGCTTGGTCTTGCATTTGGGCAAAACTAAACATGTTACCTCTTTCAAGAAATTTGATGTTCCTTTTTTTTTAAAAACGATGCAAGCGGAAGTAGAACTTGAAAACTTTTAGTCAATATACAATTATCATTACTGCGCCTGTCCCATGCCTCTTTCTTTGTCTGTTTTGGAAATTCAAAATTAAAACTCCTCGTAAATATAGTTACACCAAAAAATCATAATACAAAATGTGCCCCTTAAACATTCGAAACCCTCTAAACATGTGCCTTCCTCTCAAAATTTCTGAAGGTGCAACTTGCGCTAGGTCATCATCTTTCTAAGCGAGCCTGGACCAAAATAGGTTTTAGTGCAGTGGTGTTGATTAGTTAATTGTTGTTAAGTTGAGTAATGTTCTGTAATCCAGGAGATGTGATCATTGATTTCAGCTTTTAACATGTTTTAATTTGATACGTATGTTCTAGATGAGCTTTTCGTCCAAATAGTCCTAGATACCGTTCATAACTTGTTTAAGGGAAATAGTATATGTGAATTTTCTGATTGTTATAGGTGAAAATTAGCTTTCTTTAAGGAAAAGCTGACATGACTTGACTTCTGATTTTTTTTTTTTAAATTTTCATATTTGGAACCATATTTTTCGAGATCATAAAGACGGTTTTGAAGAGAAAAATATGCGATATTTGGATTATTATGGTTATAAAGAACTGACGAATCATCAGAAAAGTTTTAGACGATGGTGCTGGAATACTCTGGGATATCATCAGTGTAGAGAGAATAATGGAAGAGATTTTTTTTAAATTAAATTTTCGTTGATTTTCCGAATCGGTTTAAAAATAATTAACTTTTCTTGAAAGAAAGCTCAAACGCCAATGATTTAGATCTAATCGTGAAATAATTGGATCTATGGGCAATCATTTGATTAAAAAATTTCAGGTATCATAAAAATATGTATTTTTAGAACAGCTCGGAAACCCGTCTATTTCATTAAAAAACATATTCAGAAAAATATTAGAGTTATGATCTTTTAATTTATGAAGCTTGTATTGAATCTCCCTGGTTATATTCGAATCATCCTAAGAAAATTATGGTAAAATTGTGAGAAATGGGAACTCTCACAAAATGTTATTACATCCGTTTATTTATTTTTGGCTATTTGGCTTTCGAACATTATTTTAGAATAAGTAGCACATCTTGTGATTGCACCGTTAGGCTTCAATGCTTAAAAAGAAAGCCCTGAAATAAACTTGAGGACGTGGACTTAATTACTATGCAGCTCACGCATCTCTTGCCAAAAGTTCAACTGTTCCTCAATGAAGCTATGCTTAGAACCCACGGTAGACAATATATTCACTGTGTATTGAAACATTCTTTAGAATATCAAAAGAATTGAATCAATTCATGATCTATGAGGGAATGGAGGCATACTCTTAGACAGGCCATACAATAAATAAAAACACTTCTGGATAGACCTAAGAAGCACCTAGGTCGGAAAAGAAATGAACTCCGGTTGATCATCGGAGTAACACAGGCCACTGTAGATTAAAAACTCACCTTAATATTTGGGGAACGGCGAGTGATCAAGATTGTCCTACTTTACGTAGCTAATTCTGATCGCTTGTGAAAAGGATTAATCCTAGAAATTGAAAAAATAAACAACTCATTCATTAAAAACAAAATATATGGAAAAATTATTTTCAGGATAATGTTAGAATATTCCAAAATAAACTGTCATAAAATAAGTTCGAGAATACCAGTAAATAACTAATAATATACATACGTATTATTGTGTATGTGAATTCCTCTCCTAAGCGGACTGGGTTTCTTCAAAACTGAACAAAAAATATAGACCACAAAACTCCATGAACGATTTTATTTGTGAAGGAAGTTTTTTTTTTTAATTTCCTCTTTTCTATCCTTCCTTGCCTTGCGGTATTACGTGATTCGGCTGCCGTAGTTCACAGGTGCCAAGAAGTCTTCATAGTCCGGCCTGAATACAATCTCAATCTTTCCGTGGTCTTCCTTATTGGTCTTCCTTTCATTATTAGTTTTCTTCTCCAGGCTTCAAGGTTAAAGTTGGATAAAGCCACTGGCGTCTCCTAACGATAAATAAATTCTTTTTACAGTGGAAAGTCTTCCTCACTCACTAACATAAGAAACTCTTTCTCCGTGTGAACGAACATTTCCACAGTTCTCAGATACTCATCAGGCTTAAAACATATGTTCAGCTTAATATGATATTTACTTGAAATAATACTGAGGCTGTTCCAGAACAGCAGGATGTGCTTCATAATAAGTCCAAAACGTCTTAAGTTTAACTTCTTCTTCTTAAGATAGCCTGAGGAGTAATCACAACAGATGGAAATGAAAAAAAAATACTGCCTATCCCTAATTTATAACGATACTTATTGTCAATAAAATAGTAGGTGTTTCATTTTCAGCAATTTTTATCAAATACACATACATACATCACTTCTGAATCGTTATTCTTTCTGTTACTATTCTAAATAATTTATAGTTGACAATTTTTTTCATGAATTTTTGTTAATGAAATTTTTATATGAGTAATTTTACTAACTTTGTTGTTTATTTCAGCTAAACCAGGAGCACTCGACTTAAAGGGTAAGTACAAGTGGGAATCCTGGGAAAAGAGGAAAGGAATGACTAAGGAAGAGGCGATGGAGAAATACATTAGCATGGTCGAGGAGCTGGTGGCCAAATATGCCTGAACTGAATTTTTAAGACTTTTAAAGTAAATTTGTTATTTAAATTACCTATCGCTGGTTTTATATGTATATTTTAATAAATATATAATTGTTTATCAAGATCTTTTATTACTTACCTATCTCCTACATTCCTCTTGAAACATAATGTTTGAATTAACAGTATACACTAGTGATTTTTTTTTCTTGTTGCCTCTACCCTACAGGGTCATGGCAATACCTTCAAATTAAATTTTATTGCACAGTTTCACCGCTTGTAGGAATGCTAAGGTTATTTTTAACAGCTTTTTTGTTGTCTTTTAAATTTTCTTTTATAGTTAGTGCCATATCCAAATTTCTCTGATATTTTTCAGTGTAGGGCAGTCTTTTAAAATTTGTTTTATTGTTCTTTGGACATTGCAGCTCTTGCAGATTGGAGGATCAAGTCCTCTTAGTAGGTAGGGGTGTGAGAACTCACAATATCCAATTCTTAATCTGCGGTGGTCTGTCTCTTCTTTCTTTTTAGGATTGATAAGTTTTTCCATTATAAGCAATGGGTTTTTATTTCCTTTAATTTTTAATCTTTTTGCTCTCACTTATTTTGCCAAGTTTTCCACACATCATTAATCTTCTTTTATGTAGTCTTCTAAAGGGATTTCTTTAATTGATACCACCAGGGTTGTACCTGCCTTTCCTGCCATATTGGCTGAATCTTAATCTGAAGGACCCAAAAGAATGATATTTGTTTACCCTTCTCTCTTATCAGCCAATATTTCTTATTTCTTTCACTAATATAGTTTTTGGCCTAGTATTTACAATGGCTAGTAATGTACTCATCGACATCATGGCCCAATTAGTAGTTTCAGTCATTTCTATGTCTTAAGAGCTTCTCTTACTACTACCACTTCAACAGTGAATACTGAGCAAGCCTACGGGAGTTTAAATAGTTTACAAATATGATAATTTAGTGCTGAGCGTCATACTTCCTTATTTACTTTTGAGACATCTGTATAGAAGATGTTATACTCCTTGTATTTATGCAAATTTAAAAAAAATAATTTTTGTACTTCAACTAGAAATGTCATATCCTTTTTAAATCTGGTGATTGAGGTACCTATAATTGATGAGGTGTGGGTTCATCGGTGGATTATTACATCCAGCACATCCAGAATTGCAAAGCATTTTCTATATTTATTTCTGGAAAATCGAGAAGTACTTCTACAAAGTTGCTCTCCTCCCTATTACCCGCTTCCTCACAACAGAATAATATTTTATTTAATATATGTTTTGGATTGGTCTTGATTAAAATCAAAGCCCATACTTCATTGTTAGAAATAACCATCTGAAATATAGAAGAGGTTCATAAGCTTCTGCATATAGACTTTCTACAGAGGAGGGAAGTTGGCAATCCTCGGTACAAATTGTTAATACAGAATTAATGAATCAGTATTCAATTAAAAAGAAAAATTAAAATAAAACAAATAATCGGGAACTTTAAAAATGAATAATATTGTCTTTAATGCTGCATTATGTTACATATTGTAACAATCTTACTACTAGACAGTTACTTTATAAATTCCAGAATGAAAAGAAACCACTCAATGATACTAAGTAATAGAAAAAGGAACATAAGAAAAATAATTAAATTTCCTTAAAATAATATATAAATTCACACTGATTTATTTTTGTATAAAATAAATCATTTGGAATTTGGAATTATTTTTAAATTTTTACATCTTATAAGAAAGGATTGAATACTTGATGGTGGACCGTTGCATATTTTAGAGGAAGGAGATGGTTCGGGGTGGAGGTCAAAAAAAGAATAAAATAATGAAAAAACTTTTATTTCAAGCCAACATCTTGACCCAACTTTACAGATCTTCTTGAGGGGAGTTCAGGGGGTTATACAGCATGGAGTTTTGCCCACATTCACTTCACTATTAAGCTTATAGCCTATTAAATTTTCTGTTATTCAGGTTTTAAATCAGTGTTAAAAGAATAAAGGTCAAACCTGTTTATCATTTAATAAGGTCTTAATTCACAAAAACATTCTCAAAAGTACAGCTCCATCAGAAATGTTCATAGTAACTTTTCACAATAAACTGACGACATATACTAAAAATATTTTATCTTTGGCTGGTACAGTTTAATACTTACTCATTTAAAAAATGACAAATAGAAATAATAAACTAATGCAGTATGGCACTGGTAATGCTAGAATTTCAAGAATTCCTAAAGTAAATTAAATTCAGAGGAGTCTTGGGTTCAGTACATTAAAACAAAGTACTAATTCATGACAAAAATTAATAAAAACAGATGGCCAGGCTTTTTCATCAACTCATTGAATGACTAGATATGCATTTTATAAAAGAGACTGATTATGCTTCATAACCAAAGCACTAATTTTTAAGCAGCAAAAATCTGCTGAATATGATTCTTAAATGGTAAAATATGCAGTAAAAACAACAACATAAAATATGCAACAAAATACTTCCAAATATTCAACAAGACAACTAAGATATTAATATCATCAGATTATTCCAATAAACATCTAGTGAATTTTTAATCAAAATACTTCCAAATATTAAAATAACAAATCCAAATAACAAAATATCAAATCCAAGTATTAAAATAACAAATATCAAATCCAAATATTAAAATAACAAATCCAAATAACAAAATACTTCCAAATATTCAACAAGACAACTAAGATATTGATATCATCAGATTATTCCAATAAACATCTAGTGAATTTTTAATGAAGCTAAATTTTTAAGTGTGTTTTAATTTTTGATTTTATTTATTGATAAAAAAAAGAAAGCGCATACCAACGACATAAGCTCTGTTATATATATGTAAAAGATATAAAAATACATTAAGTGCACTCTGATTTCACAGAGGTAAAATTCATCAAAATGTTTTATGAAATGCTACTTAATATTTTTTCTGAAATAAAATAATGATATACACTATTTAGTGTGCTTATTAAGCAACAAAAGAGAGAAATTAGAGGTGGGATTAAAATCAAACTAATGATTTTAATTTTTTTATTTTTATAAACCATATATATATATATATATATATATATATATATATATATATATATATATATATATTTTTTTTTTTTTTTTGTTCTTCCCTACCTCGCCTTTTAGGCTATACGGGATTTTCCCGTGCCGGGGGGTGAGGGCGGGGAATTTAAAATCCCCTCCGGCACCGGGACGCGAACTTGTACTTTTTATATCATCTCAAATCTCTGTTATCCGGTTGCCAGGCAACTAGCGGTGTTGTTACACACGCTTTAGAATATTCGGCCACCCCGCCCCCAATATATATATATATATATATATATATTTTTTTTTTTTTTTTTTTTTTTTTCAGAGGTTTATATAAGTAATAAATGTAAAATATCAAGAGACATTTATAGTTAAATGTCCCAGAGTAAAAAACAGCTTTATAGATTTAAAAATGCCAATGATCCTGCAGGGTAGAGGCAACAATAAAAACAAATAAATAAATAATAGATTTAAAAAGAATGACGTTAACTCAAGTTAACTCAACTAACGTTAACAATGTGTTAACAGATAGAGGACCAACTCACAAAATATACATAAATGAGTTCTAAATCTAGGTAGTTTTGAATGAATAGTGCTTAATAGTTTCAACAGAAAAGAATCATTTCTTAGTTCAGGACTCTAAGAATATAGAATTACTTTCATTATTTTAAAAAAATGTTTTGGGTTGAATAAAATTAGATTTGTGACAAAAATGAAATATACTTATTTAAAATCTTTTGAACTTAGCATTGATTTTATTCAAAACATGTGCAATATGGATTGATTTTCTACTGCTCTGTTAGTTTTCTTCTTTCAGTGACTGAATAATATTTAAAACATAAAATAAAATAAATTAGTTCTAACGGAACAATTCAACTCAAAAGTAACATTTGTGTTTTTAAGTAGAAAGCCCATTTATTTCAATTTTGGGGGAATGCCAAGATATAAATTTAGAGCTCCCAACCTTCACACCATTGTTGTTATAGTAAAGAAGAGTCTATTGATAGTTATTATGAACAATATTTGATCAAACAAATATAAAATTAAAGTAAGGAAAATTTAAATCATTTTGTCGAAAATCTGATTTATAAGCATCTTGCACAGAATCTCAAGATATAAACAGAGAACAACTAAATTTCAGTTGACATAAAAAGGCAACTTTTAAATGCTATTAGCATTTTTCGTTCCACCATACTAAATATGTTAAAGCAGCAACTCAGTCACATCATCGAGATAAATACAAAATGCTAATTAAAACACGGCCTTTTGGAACAACTTCTATTTTAGAGGTTGTTCTATTTTATGAGATCTTCTCAATCTTGTTAGAATAGTTTGATAACCTCCAAATAATTCATCCTCCTTTCTCTAATTGGAGTAAATAACATGTCAAACCTCAAATATAGTATTTTTTTTTTTTTTAATCTAAAATATACCATAAAATTTAATACTTCTGATAATTTGGGTAAAGAAAAATTATAAAATGACTAAAGATGAAGTAAACTGAATCAGGATGAACAAGAGCCTGGTGTGTTTTATTATATATTTATTTTTTAACACATCATATACACTATATGAGAGGCATATTTTAACAAAATGGAATAACTTAATTTTTTCATTAAATTTATTAGCTTCATAAATAACTTATATTTTTTAAATGACCAAAAAGTCAATTTGAAATTATTCTATTTTTTCAGTAGATGTTTCATATGTCTGTGACACCTGTGAAATGAGTTGTTGAGTGCAATTTTGTGAATTTGTATGAGTATAACAAGAGAGCTAATTTTCCTCTCTTTCCTTGTGTCTAATGGGCTAAGTTATTCGGCTATTACAGAGATGAAAATTCCTTTATGAATAATGGGTTGAAAACCAAAAATTGAACACGCACCTGTGATTATTCCAAGCATTTCATTGCGTTTTTTCATAAATATGATTTTAGCACTTAACACATGATGCACAGGTATAATTACATAAGGATCTTAACAGCTGCCACTATGCTATTAAAGTTTAACCAAGATTTTTATCAGCAAATATATTTTGTATTTAATCACATTATCGAAGAAGTAAAGATGCCAGTTCTAAGAAAAAAAAAACATGGTTCTGTTAACGAAGGAGATTCATAGAGGAGAAGAAAAATGCCTAACCCTATGATCTATTTTCTAATTGAGAAATTGTAATGGTTTGAAATAATATAATTGCTTAGAATTTACTTTTTGTATTTTTCTTAATATGGTTTTTACAATGTTTAAATATTTGTTATTTAACTCTATCAACTTTAGACCTAATGATATTAAGGAGAAGTCTACATATGGATTAGATAAACAAATCATAACTGACCACTCTTAGAACTCAAAAGGGAACTTATATATATATATGCATACTAATACATATAAGTTATATGTATATATATATATATATATTTATATATATATATATACATATATATATATATATATATATATATATATATATATATATATATATATATATATATATAAATAAATTCCAATCTTTTTAGACAATCATTAGAGATTGGCAGAGTTTTCACTTGATTAAAAGTAATTAGGCTAATCAGAACATGTGCAGAATACAAGAAGAGTTTTTGACATATTGCCAAAGGGAAAAAGTAGACAACGAAAGCAATCCTCTTTTATCCTAAACTCTATTGTCTGAATTATCTCAATTACATTAGTTCCATTAAAAAATTAACAGGAATGAAATGAATTAATCCAATAATTAACAATGAAAACAGGTTTTAAAACAGGTTTTGATAGAAATTCAGTTTTATGTAACAAATATAATAGAAAAATAGATGAAAATGGGATGTCTAAACCCTGGTGAGGGACCTTTCAAAATATGAGATGCAATAAATTTACACAGTTGAATACCTTTTTAAAATGATAAAGATTTTTAAAAAGTTTTGTTTGATAATGTTAGATTTATGTTAACAAAAAAAAAAATCATATAAAGTTGAATAGAATTTATTAAATACTAGTTGAGATAAATAATTCAGAAAAAAATCTTTGTTTATACGACTATATCTAACAATTCGAAAACAAATTAAAAATAAATAAACAAACTTTTCAATATTTATTCGTTAGTCAAGATCTCTGCACACCTAATCAAAAGTATCTGTTTATAAACATAAGATTTTTTATATTCTTTATTTTATTATAAACACAAATATTTAATTTCTTAATATTAAATTTTATTTAACAAATAAATTCCATGAAATAGATTATAACAAAAATAAACCAATGCCATCTTAAATCATATCAAATATAAATTGGAGACCATTGTTAAAGGCCATCCATATTTGTTCGGAAAAGGGCAGGGCTTGAACATACTCTTTCATCTATCCAAGCTATTACAACAGCTTTTATCATTTGGTAAGACTAATATTTTCATTTTCTCTGATTATGCATAAGATTGTTTCCTTACAAAAAATATTTTAACTCCTAGGGGGAGTAATACATAAGTATAACATTGAGAAACATAGCCACTCGTTACTCATAACGATATTGAGATGTAAAGTAATGGTTACAAGTCACAATAATTAATGTTTAATCAAATGAAAAGCCATTGGAATTTTTAATTATACTAAATTGTGTATCGCATACTAATCAAATACCTTTTTTTAAAAGCCAATTCATTATCAGGCATAACTAATTCATTCTTAGAAGTGGTAACATTTTAAAATGTAGATATTTCGGAATTATTGGACATTGAAACTAATTTTTAAAAAACTAAGGTTGAATTGATTCGAAATAATAATGATAGTTCTTAAATAAATTAATTTATATAAATTACGAAGCACCTCCCCAATGGAATTTAATTTATAGTAATTTTGGTAATAAATAAGGAAATTTAGAAGGTTTCATTCTTCATTGGCATTTATTAAACAGAATAGAAAATTAAGTTGAGTTTTATGAACAGAAAAATTTTTAATTAGACTCTCTCAGAGGTAAAATTTAAAATATAATTTTTTTTATAATTCATCTTTTTTGCTTTAATTTCTATATCCTTAAAATGTCTATAAACTGCAATGGACTTGGTAACTATTGCTGAATTAGTTTATATAATTTCTTTTCAGGGTTCAAATTAAAACCTTGATTTCTGGGTTCAATTTAGACTTTACAAGTTTCATTATTTCATATGAAAAGTAATTTAACCTCATTTTCTACCATTTTTGAACTTTAATTGAAAATCTCCGATCCATTTCTACACTGTCAGTTTTCATCTATTAGATCTTCATTTATTTATATGAAGAAAATATAGATGATTCCTTATGCAATCCTTAACTCTATGTTGCTTATTACGTAAATCATTAAATTTCCCAATTCTTAATTTTGCAATATTTCTCATCTATCATATCGCCTAATTGAAAATCCTCTGTTTTCATCTTTGTATTGAAAATTCTCTGTTTGGATCTTTGTATTAAAATATTTATTCGATTTTTTTTTTTTACTATACAAAACCTCATTTTTTAATAATATTTTTATTCTAAATGGATGTACATCACAGTAAATAAAGACTGTTAATAGTAGTAGTATTATAAAATATTTTATTTTTCAGGTCATTCGTTTAAAAAAAACTACTGGATTGTGAGCACATTTTAATAAAATACTGGCATATTCAAATTAAAGATAATATATACTTGTTAATACAAAGGAAAAAAAGCAATAATCCAATTATTATCTGGTTTGTGAAGACATGGATGAGAATAAGAATTTAACAGTTGTTGAAGAAGAGCAGAATATGGAACAAAGAAGTAATCAGTCCATTAATACCACTCTTTTTTCTTCTTTTTATTTTAATGCAATATATAAATAGAATTAAAATCAGAATCAATCAAATTCACTATTAAATTTTGGGAAAAAAGATTTGATATGATTACATTGCACAACAAATGGGTAAAGATTATATCATATCATCACTTTAAGGAAGTACAATTTTTGTTCAGTCTGAGTAGAATACCAAAAACTTTTTAGCCCAAGAAGGGAGTCATGTCAAAAAATGTTTCAATTTAAACCGCTGGTCTAGGTTATGCTATCATATGATATCTGAAGATGAGTCACTACTTATCTATTCACTAGCCAATAGTAAGGTTTCGCCATTACATCCTATCAGAAAATTATTCAAATTACATTTTTTGTAGTTTTGAACAACTAAATCTATTATATTGTTAGAGGAAAAATATGCCTAATAAATTTTTATAAATGTGCGAATAAATTTCATAACTATGAAAACAAATGATTTAATTATACTTTGTTTTGGTTATATTATTACTATTATTATTTTTTTTAATATTGTTTTTAGGTAACCAAAATGTTTAATTCTGATTTTCATGTTTTCTTTTTCATATAAATTAGAAAATAAAATAAATTCATACAAAATTTAAACAATACACATCAATGACAGTTCAGCAAATCACTATCAACACATAATCAAATTTATTGTAATTTATAGTTCTATCGAATATTCAGAATGTTTTCTGGGGTACTATATATAACATAATATAGACATAACACACAATATTTTTGAAAAACTATAAAAATGAAAAAATTAAATTAAATTAAGAGGAAATAAGACAAAGTTAAAGGCGGGCAATGCATATAATTCGTCAATTGAAAAAATACTAAAATCCAGTCTGTATTTCATAAACTTGGAAGTTAGAATTTACAAAACTATTATCCTTTCTACTGTCCCTGATCTTACGTGGTAAAATTTATGTTATTCAAGAACGTTCCAGCTTCTATACAAGAAACCAACAAAAAATCAAGGATAAAAGTATCTTTTAAACACATTTAATTAGAAATAAAAATTTTTCCAAAATTATTATTGAATCTATAATTTATAAGATAAATAAACACAATCTACAATTTGTGGGGATTATGTTAGTAAAAAATAAAGCATCCTGTGCTGACATGAGGACTTAAGAATCAAGATGAGCTTCATAAAGCCTACCTAACATTGCTACATGCTTTGATTGAAAATAATGGTTTCATCTAAAAAATATTGATGTTTTCATTAGCAATATCATACTTTTGTTGAATATACATTTAATTGTAAAATACTTGATTTATTGAAAGTTATTTACTGTTTCTTTGTTATATGGATTACCTTCTGTTTTTTTTTTGTTTTTTTTTTACTTTATTTTCAATTCATTATTTTCATAACCAAATTAATAGTTATATATGTGTTTTATTTATTAAAATAACTTTTGTAAATAAGAGTTTGTAGTTTTTATGAAGATGATTATTTAATATCATAGGATCTCAGGTGGTATATCCAGTAGTAATAAACTAACGTAATCCCAGTAACACAAACCCTGAGAAGTACGTAGTTCACTTATTAAATTTTACTTTTTTTTCTAGTAAGAAGAATGAGAACAGCTGCTTCTACTAGATACAATAATCGCACTGAAGAAACTGAATGTCCCTTAAATCATCAAGACACATGTGCATCTATAGATGTTCTAAATTTAAAAAATAAGCGAACAGAACAAATAAAGAATAAAGATAAAATAATCAATGGTTCAGTAATTGATAATTTAAAAAAAACAGGATTAAATAATGAGACAGAAAAGCCTGAAACAAATAGCGATAAAGGCTTAGAGTTAGCTGAAGGGTCTATAAAGAAATCACTCAAGTGTAAATTTTGCATTAAGACTTTCATAAGACAAAAATGTTTGCTAAGACACATGAACTCTCATACAATAAAGAATGAGGAAAAAGAATACAGTGACCATGCAAGTAGTTCACTAGTTGCCAACGTTGACGAACTAGATTCTAATTCCGATAATGAGACAACAATGGGAACAAATTACAATAAATATTTGGAATCAGATAATTCTACAAAAAAAACACATAAATGTCAGTATTGCACTAAGACTTTTGCTAGACGAAACTGTTTATCAAGGCACATGAGGATACACACAGGAGAGCGACCTTATGAATGCTCTGTTTGTGAGAGGAGATTCGTAGAGCATGGAGCAATGAGAGTACATTATAGAATTCATACTGGAGAGCGACCATTCGTATGCGTTTACTGTAGTAGATCTTTCCGTCACAAAAGTAATTTGACATTGCATGAAAGGCGTCATTTTAATGATAAACGTTACAAGTGTCCTTTGTGTCCAAAAACATTTATCAGCCCAGGAAATTGTAAAAAACATGAAAGGAGTCATTCAAAAGAAAAAATACACAAGTGTGAAGAGTGTTTTCAAAGTTTCAAAACAAGAAAAGGATTATCAAAGCATGCAATGACACACGGGGATAATATTCATAAGTGTCACGTTTGCCTAAAGGACTCTAGTAGTGCCAAACTGAAAGAACAGATGAGCAAGTGTGACTTATGCGAAAAAACTTTTACCAAGTCAAGTTCATTGAAAGTACACTATAGAATTCATTCAGGGGAGAAACCTTATAAATGTGTAATTTGCTACAAAAGTTATGCTAGACTTAGAACACTAATGAAACATAAAATTGTACACACAAAAGATCAATTATATAACTGCAGTGAATGTAATAAAACTTTCACTAAGAAAATCAGTTTGGCAGCTCATAGAAAAATACATAAAGGAACTAAGGCATACCACTGTAAAATGTGCAACAAGTTTTTTACACAGATATCTAATTTCAATAGACACTTATCAACACATAATTAATTTAAAGGTTAATTAATTGTTTGGAGGATAATTATGAAAGTAAAGATTTATAAAAACTATTAAAAAAATATATATACATAAATACTTATATATATATATATATATATATATATAAATTTTTAAAGTTTAGTATAAAAATATTCATGATTACTAATGTGCTTAGCTTCATTTTAAATTTATTATTTCACAAGGTGTTCATTTCACATTTATCATTTTTCCCAAGGAAAATTTAGACATGAACATGATGAATTTTTTTTATTTTTTGTTATATGTTCATAACTTTAATTTTTGTTTTTATTATAAAAGCACAAAATTATGCTGGGACATGTGATCTTTTGTTTAAATTCCATCCAGGCCAATACCAATATTTAAGTGTATTTCATATATAAGAATACATATGTGTAAATTGGTTGGGAGGATTAAGCTAACACATCTTCACACCTCACAAGGATTTGAAATTCCAAATCAGTATGTCTATACATTTTTTTTTTTTTAATATAACATACAAACCAATTATTTGTATGTAGACAAACTAAGTTTAAAAAGAAATATCTACTAAAAATTAATGAATTGTCATAGAAACAAGACACTAAATGAAATAATTAGACATTATATATTGATAACAACTATAGATTGGTTTAAAAATTAAATACATAGAAATATTAGTATAATGATTATCTATACATTTTGTATTATGGATGTATAATATATGTGTGAATGTATAATAATCTTTGATGTATGTACTTAATAACCTGTAATATACTTTAGTAACCATAACAAGAAAATCTATATAAATTTATGTATTAATACATTACTGGCAGAATATGGAATTCAGGAGTTGCATAGAATGCCTCCCTTATCTGATCCTTCCATACATTGACTAAGCGTTTTTAGCTAAGAATTTATCAAATAATTTGTACACAACCTTACATACTTTGCCGAGGTATTTCATAAAATGCCATTCGTCCTTAGGCAAAGTTAGATGAAAGTGATTTGTATAAATAGTTTTTATTTATGAATAAAATGTTATTTTTTAAAAAAGAAAAGGAAATTATTTATAAGATTTAGATACTTTAAGCTACTGTTACAGCAGGATAGAGCTGTTGCATTTGCTATGTTTTTTTTTTCAAATTACTTATAGGATTTGTTGACACAAATAGTACGAATAATTTTAAAATTTATTTGATTTAATTTTGAATTGAATTTATAATTATTTATAATTAAATTTGAATCTAATGATTTTTTATTGTATTAACATGAAATATAGGTTTATCTAATAATGTATTACTGAGGATGACCTCAGGTTCAATGGCATAAGGATATGACTGGTGATGCCAGGTCCATGCTGGATATAACATGAACTGGAAGATGTGGATGTTATCTGCAGTGTTTTTCCTAAACTACTTGGTCAATTTTTTTCTAGATTAGGCAATAAAGTCTCAGATCACACCAGAAAGATCCTGGAACTTGATCTCACCATCCAACAATCTAATTCAAAATAATATCTAATCAAATGTTTCATGCATCCATATCTCAGCCATTTATTTACTCACTTCACCACAATTGTTTTGATAAATAAGGGTTGTTATATTTAGAATTTTATAATATTAATAGAAGCTTATGGAAAATATTATAAAGTTGATGTTCCATTAAATATGTGTTATATTATATTAAATTATTGAAGCAAGAGAATTAATAAATTTAATTATTCCTTAATTGATCCCAATAGCCTGTCTCTTCCCTTCCGTTTCACTGTTAAAGTTTCAGGATCAGTTTGATCAATGCATGTACTGATATGTTCATATTTCTTAAATCACTGAATATTTATCATTAGTTTTAGATAGTTTTGAAGATGCCTTAAAATACTGAACAATATCACTAGTACTACTATTCCTTATTTTCTTCCACTTGGTTGGTTAGTGTATGGAGGGCTTTCTGGTGAGATTAAGTTGAGAATAAAGTAAGTAATAAATTGTAACATGAGATTTATCTTCAGAGTATGCAGGAAATCTCATCTCCACCTAAGGTTCATCTACTAGATGTTTCAATACCAAGATAGAATCTTTCCTCCTCTTCACAGCTTACATTCTTGAGTGAATATTTTTTACTTTTGCATTATTAAATTTCAAAATATAAATGTTTAAAAAAAAAAACATCACCACTACATGATTGGCCTTTGACAATGTGTTTACATATTTCAAAATAAATATATATTATACAACATTCTAAAACAGGATCATATACTATACTCTAATTCTATTAACTAAAAAAATAAGTATATAGATATTTACATAGGGGTGCAAACAACAATTATTAATACAATCATAATATCCATCATGATTTTCAATTTCAATGCGTCATGACACCGGCGGATCTACGGGGGGCTTTCAGGCTGAAGCCTCCCCGCCCAAAATGGCAAAATATGACAATGTTTTATGGAAAAAAATATTTAAAAAATTATCTCTTAAAGTATTATTGTTCGTGTAATTACATTTAAAAGGACTTAAGGAATCACTTAAACACCATTTCATATAGATAGTTAGTTTCTTTCTTTTTTTCCAAAGTAAATATCGCCATTTTAATGAAAAAGAAAAGCTCTCGGGTTGAAGTCTCCCCAAAATTAAATCCTTGATCCGCTAGTGCGTCATGATAAAATTCACGATATTTATTTTCTATACTTTGGATTCTGGAATTGTTCTTAATGTTAGAGAAAAAAGTAGGTCATTTCATGCAATTTCAACTAGCTGTTAAATAAAAACAGCTATAAAACAGTAACTGTAACGTGTGTGTACAAAGTGAATCAAACAGTGACAAGCTTATCAGTTCAGCAGTTGATGCAAGGACTACAACGGCAGCAAAATGAATCGCTACATTATTTCTTTTTGGATTACATTTATTATTGTCAATTATGTGAGTACTAATTCCTTTTTTATAATAGGGACATTAGATATAAATATGAAGGCATCTAGAGGATATTCCTTTCCATCACGGAATAGCTATCAATATAAATAACATTTACTGAAAAATTGATTAACACTTACAGCTTGGTAGTTAAAATTTAAACATTTTGAAAATAAAAAATCACGAAATAAAGGCTAATTCCTTCACACAATCGATTGCGCCTCACAACTTTTGATTGACTACGCCCTTTATCATAAATAAAAGTTTTTCATAATTGTAGAAATAGCACGGCATTAATAAAAAAATAAAAACCAATATAGCTTCTAGCTACTCCAAGAAAACTTTGAATGCACGCAGAAATTCGTTTATTTAGAGTATATAATTGTGTTCATGAAATGAATGGAAAATTAATGATGTCTAAAATATTTTAATTCAATAACAAATCAAGTTTACTATCTAAAATGTATCTCACTTCAAAATCATTTTGAGTAGATTATTATAATTTTTGATCCTTATGAACAAATACTTTCAGGAACGAATTAATTTATGTGGAGCTTTCATGGGGTATTTATAGATTTCATTATTTTTTTTTAAATCACGCAGTTATCTGGATGGGCCTGCAAAATCCTATGTTATCAAATACCCAAATATAAAATTATCGGAAACAACTTTTAATATTAAAAAAAAAAAAATTGGCCTTAAGACTTATCAATCCAAGTCCTATTTTGCCAATAGCTTCTCAAATTTTATATTGCAAAATTAATCAAAATTGGTTCCATACCGCAAGTACTAGAGGTACCTTCCCTCCTGAGGTCGATGGCGCAGGAATCTACCCCTCCTCCCAAGAAAAATTATTACTTACCTCTTCTTAAAAACTGCACGAAAAAGTAGTATTGAAAAAATCGTAGATTATATACAATTAAACTTGCTATAGTCTGGTATATCATTTTTCTCTTGTCATCTGGATTGAAACTTTTCATTCCAAAAGTTTACGACCCTGTAGAAATTTATCCCTCTCAAACATTTACAACCGTTTAAAAATGTGCTACCCTCAAAAATTTTGATGGCAAGATGAACGCCATGAAAACCCTTTCCAGGCACCCCTGGCAAGTATTATTTCTAAATGGAACTCAACAGTTATACAAAATTTGAGGCTAAACAACCCGATTGTCCAAAACTGAGAACAAAACGGTTTACAGTGGTTCTTATTTCTTTTAAAACTGTCCTGATTTACGGACATTATCTGTTTTATTGATCGTAAAAAATTAATACCATCATCTTATAGCTTGCGATCCTAAATTCTTCTTATATATTTCTCGAATCTTTTACGATGGAAGGCAGTGTGTCTACGATCTTTTAGGTTTTTAACTTTTAATTTAAAAACAGTTTAATACTAATTACCGTAGATTAGACTAATCGGAGCTTTGATTTTTTGAAAATCCTACTAATCCACACAATATTAAAAAATAATAAACTGACGATTTAATTTAGTCAGTGATAAGTTCGAAAATAATCAAAAGAGAGCCGAAACTCAAAAGAGAGTACCGGATTCAAGATTTAATTTTGGGGACTAACAATTTTTATAATAATATAAATATATTTATTTAAATACACAATTCACTAACAGGAATGTGCTCAATGAAAGGCGGTCATTCGTTTGGCTTGGATAAGAATAATGGTAATTATAGGAACAATAATGCTTTCAGAGATAAAATTTTAATATATTTCTTGATAAGCGGGCATATATTTAGTAGTTACATGCATTATAATTAAAAGAGAGAAGGTGTTGGTATTGTATAAATATTTGAGTTATATCACTCATAAAACAATGAAAAAATTGATTTTCTATTTTAAAGGGAGGGGGATTCAAAGCGAAAGCCCTCTCTCCTTGAATCCGCTAGAGAAAGGGAAGGGTCAATGAAAAAGTGTTGACAGAGCTAGAGGTTATCTGCCTAAAGGGTTATCTTCTGTTGGCTAATAGAAGGACGGAGTGGAACGACCGGTAGAAGACGGGCTCTCCCTCCAACTTTTTATCTTGCAATGAGAGATACGGATTCATAGTTCCTGCCAATGTGCCTGTTGCCATGTTCAAAATGTTCCAAGTTCATAAATATTACAATTCATGGCATTAATAAGAGACATTACCTCTAAATATTATCTAACGGTAAGAAAAGT